CTTGGCTATTTTTGCGTCTCCCCCTTTTACATCGGCGTTCCGCTTCATAAAGGAATCATTGCCGGCGGATAATTAACTCTCCGTATAATTAGATGATATTCGCATTAATAACGAGCCATTATCCTCCACTCAAGATTAATCGTCCAAGATGGTTCGATATTTAAATGAAGAGCGATCTCGCCGCCTTTGATGTTCATCGCCCTCTCCAGTTTCAATTTTTCTCGGGGATCTTCGCAGATCTTTGACCCGGAACAATACAATCGTTTCCGGTTTACGACACATATAATTTCACGTTTTAATGTCTCTACAAACGATGCCGATCCATAGGGAATCATATCCTTCGACAAAGATGATTCTGGATCATCACTTTTCTTCTTTTTTTTACGCTGAAGAACACAATTCTGGATCATCATTTTTAAACGATAAGAAACATGATTTTGGATCATCATTTTTTTATGTCGAGCAACGCAATTCTGGATCATCATTTTTAGACGATAAGAAACATGATTTTGGATCACCATTTTTTGACGTCGAGCAACGCAATTCTGGATCATCATTTTTAGACGATAAGAAACATGATTTTGGATCACCATTTTTTGACGTCGAGCAACGCAATTCTGGATCATCATCTTTAGACGTGAAGCAACATGATTCTGTATCATCATTTTTAGACGCCAACATAGATAGCACAAAAACGTCTCAAAGACGTCCGTGTTTGGGCATTCGGGGCGTCTTTAACGCTAGATTTACGGAACCCGTCATAAATGACGGAACACTAATTTTTTAATTTACGATTATTCATATCGTAAAGATACATTTATTAGTTATTTATTCGATTTATATGTTACTAACGTTAAAAATCAGGATAAATGTCTTATTCTTACCTTTATAAACTAATATAAAACAGCTGTTTTTTGTGCTCCGTAAATCTAGTGTTAAGATGACTTTAAAACGTCGTGAGGAAGACATCTTTAAGACGCCTAGTTTTGTAACGTAAGACGTTCGCAAGACAAGAAATAAGCTTTAAATATTTTAACCTTTTACCCAACACGTTTATTTCACGGCATAAGCCTACGTGTTTACAATACTGTGGTTCAACAGCGATTGACTACCATTAGGTCGCAATTATATGTAGCGTATATTAGTTTTCTATACACATCAACCATTACACGGTGTCGCCAATTTCCAAAAGATAGCGTCGTTGTATCCGTACGTATATTTCGCTGCAGTCCCGAATGTCCTGCGAACGTCCAACAAACGTCCGCGGAACGTCTTACGTTGCGGAACCAGGCGTCTTGAAAGACGTCTTCTAGACGACGTTCCAGCTATCCGGGAAGGAACATCGCCTCGCGATGAATACGCAATCGAAAACCAGCTAAAATCGGCGAAACAAATCGACTGGCCAGCGTGACGCAACGAAGCAGCGAATGATAATGAATCGTTACAATTCTTTGCTCACAATGGATCGTAAATCACCGAGCGATTGGCCGTGCACGCACCGATTGTGAATCACGTGTCCGTCTATTAGCAGAAACGTATCATTAGATTTTGTAAAGCGTTTACACAACGTGACTCGTGTCCAACGAATATGTATATACACGTCCGCGCAGATACCGATCTAATTATCCGTCGATTTCTATTGGAATCTGAAACAGCGCGTATCTTGGATACCGTCGACAGCCCGCCGCGACGTCGGTGGTATTTCCATTAGAAAGGAAAATGGCGATCGGCTCGGTACATCCGCTTAAATCGATTTTGCGCGTAGAGTGAAAAAGATAATGATATACATTAACGGATATTAATAATACAGATCGGTCGCGGTGTCAATTAAGGGGGTTCAATTAAACGAGCCAGCGGTAGCCGTAATACTTGTCGGGCGCGCACCGCTTTCATTTCGACAGATTCGTACTGCTTAAATGCTCGTAAAATTTCATAAGCGTCCTTTTTTTTTTCTTCATAATTTAATGCCTTTAGAGAGCCACTTTCAACTTTGCTTCTTTCTGAAACTTTTCGCTTTCTTATTTTCCTCCGGACACGCGGCATTTTATCGATGATAATAAAACGGGGAAAAATGGGATAATTAACGAGCCCTGCGTCGAACAGACCGAAAACTAATTATATTCCGGAGAAACCGAGGAAAAACGATGAAATTAATATAACACGAAAATCACTTTATGCAGACTCCCGAGCGCGTTTCCTATAATTGCTGGCTGTATCTTCTGTCTTAGGAAGCTGGTGGCAACTGTTTTCCATTACTTTATAAAAGTACCGATGATATATTTATTCGGATTTTTAACGAGTCTTACGATGGAACAGGCAAGAATAAATAAACATGTAAACAGACGGCGGATCTTTCTGCAAAATGAGAATTGTCTCCATCGTTTTCTTAAATAATATCGACATGATCCATTCGGTACATCGACGCTCGTAAATTCATTCGGTCTTCTTATCGTTTCAACTACCACCTTTTTTTTGCAAATGCATAAAATCCGCGGTCTACTCGTAAATGTATCTCGGCGATCGGAATAATCGTAAATTATTGGGTTGACAACTAAGTAATTGCCGATTTGCTCAATGAAATAAAAATTTTTTTTTACTTGGAATAAAGTTTAATCTGTAATGTATTTTCCATTTTGCTCGACGACCTTTTGCCATCTCTCCGACAACTTGAAAATTCCACGCTCGTAGAAAGTCTGATCCTTTTCGGCTAAAAACTGAGTTAAGCGAGATTTTACAGCGTCATCGTCGTTAAAAGTTTTACCACGAAGGGAGTTGTCCAGGGATCGAAATAAGTGGTAATCCGATGGTGCGAGATCAGGGCTATATGGAGGGTGCAACATCGATTCCCAACCAATATCCATCAATTTTTGCCGAGTGGACAAAGACGTGTGCGGCCTAGCATTGTCCTGCTGGAAAATGACACCTTTACGATCGATCGATTCTGGTCGCTTTTCCTTGACCGCTGCATTCAATTTGTCCAGTTGCTAACATTCACGGATAATAAAAAATAACATAATAATAATAATAATTTTATAATATAACATTTACGGATATCATAAAAATGGGAGTGAGAGACATCTATAACTTAAATCGGCAATTACTTAGTTG